TCGTGACTTTTGCTCCGAACAAGGCTAGATAAAAGCAGCCCCTGATTTCTAACAAAAACTCGAAGTAGCTCTTAAATCAACTAATATTTGAAACCGCTTATATAATATAGTTCAGTGGACCATTACACTTCCCAATTTTACAGTGTTCACAGTTTTCTAAATGTACATTCTTGTATAAAATAAACCTACACAAAAACATATTGCAATGTTTTCAAAGTACATTCATACATACAATTTTTTAACCACAGCGCACAATGTAAATATGGACTGTTTCGGTCATTTTTTTTAATGCGGTAAGCCGGTCGTTGCCCTATGCAAGGCATCAATTTTCAGTTAATTTAGATTAGTACAATAAGTTCTCGAGAATGTAAAATGTATTTGGCACTGACAAATGAGTTATTTTGGGGCGATAGAAATTATCTATCCAGATGTATGGCTTGATGTTTGATGAATATTTTAAAGCAAGGTTTGTATGTATGAAATGAACAATGAATAAATAATGATAGACGAGTTGAAAAGTAATTTCATAAAGAATTCTGAAAAATTTAGCATAAAATATCGTTGACAAAAACGGTAGGCTGAGATTAGCAGTCTAATGACTGAAATTTGGGTAAATGAGGGCAGTTCAGACTAACACATTATGTTACAGGTTATTTGAGAAAAGCAAGTTTAGCCTCTTTTCAATGCGTCAAGCAGATTACTTACACCGCAGCCTGGGCCACCAATCCTTCCTGTCGGGGCGTATTATTAGCTTGTTAATGTAAAGTATACGCTCTGTATGGTAACAATAAATATCCACAATCACGCATGGGGGGCAGCATTTTCAAATTTTAGCAACGAGCGCAACAGGCAATTTCAGTCCTCACGCATGAAACATAATAAAACAACATATATCTCCGATTATACGAGTCTCGCTTTTATTTCAGTGGACAATTTCAATAATTTTATCTAAAAACAAGGTTATAGCGCCTATGAGGTACAAAAAAATTGCTTAGTATAATTATAATATACTTTAGGCTGTACAGTCCACACACGCACATACGATAAGTGATAACACGCTTCATGAGAGTTGAGAATAAAAAATTCGTTAATATCTTTTACCACAGTTGCATATATTATATCACTTTTGATGTGTTGTAGAAGATATAGAATTTGACGACAGGTAACACGTCCCCTGATTAAAAATAAAACAAGAACAACAACAAAATAATAACATAACGATGCAAAAATGCAATTCTAGCAATAATTTAAAAAATATTAAGTCAAGTTTTATTTTGTCGAATAAATATTTTATTACTAATTACATCAATGCCAAAATTGTTGACATAAAACTGTACCAGGAAAGGGAGAGAATATCTTCATTTGAATATGTGGAACAAAATATAGCAGTTGGCACAGGACTTTGAACAGTTCAACAGTTCAGCTTTATATAATTATCACAAGTTAAATGACGTACATACAATCCTTATAGAATTTGGATGTAATTCTGCTCATATTGTAGTGACATATCAACCTTTGTGTACATATATTTGTGCATCGATTCATGCTGGTAGTGCATAAGGAAATAGATTAGCTGACGTCCTTCGATAATTTGATAGTGTTTTCCTACATATGTAAGATCGAGCATGGTCCGTTGGTAAAATACACTCCTGAATTACTGATCATGTTTGGTAAACAAAATTTCTAAATAAATTGGTAATATGACGCCGATAGGTAATTTGATGACTGGAGTTGAGGAAATAACCTGTCAACGTATAACTCAATGCAGCTTAGACTCGATTATTTTATAGCACAAGTTGGGACTGTACTGTGGTCTACAGATAGTACATGTTACAGACTTTATTGAAGAAAATATGCTCAAAGCAAGTCTACGAGCACTCAGAACTGTAGAGATTAATCTCTGGGCAAAGTTGGACCACAGTGCCTAAGACATCATTTTAATGTAGAATCGCGCATTAGTGAATGCAGATTGATGCGAAACTTCAGGAAATATATGTTAATTAAGATCAGGAAAACAGCTTTTGGGTCACGAATTCTACCTAATTGAAGTTATTGGGAAAAAAAATTTGAGCCTTTTATTTTGTCTGTGAAGTACTCTGACAGTAAACGAGAGCTCCTAGCTAATCAAGTTAGATGAGAGAAAACTTTTTCACGGGCATTTGACAGCAATATCCTATGCTTTGTATAATGATGTAATACAAAGTTCACTCGTGAATTTTGCTCCGAACAAGGCTAGATGAAAGCAGTCTCTGATATCCAACAAAAACTTGAAGTAGCTCTTAAATCAACTAATATTTGAAATCGCTTATATAATACAGTTCAGTGGACGATTACACTTCCCAATTTTACAGTGTTCCCAGTTTTCTAAATGTACATTCTTGTCTAAAATAAACCAACACAAAACATATTGCAATGTTTTCAAATTACATTCATACATACAATTTTTTTAATGCGGTAAGCCGGTCGTTCCCCTATGCAAGGCATCAATTTTTATTTAATTCAGATTAGTACAATAGGTTCTCGAGAATGTAAAATGTATTTGGCAGTGACAAATGAGTTATTTTGAGGTGATAGAAATTATTCATCCAAATGTATGGCTTGATGTTTGATGAACATTTTAAAGCAAGGTTTGTATGTATGAAATGAACGATGAATAAATAATGGTAGACGAGTTGAAAATTAATTTCATAAAGAATTCTGAAAAATTTAGCATAAAATATCGTTGACAAAAACGGTAGGCTGAGATTAGCAGTCTAATGACCAAAATTTGGTTCAATGAGGGCAGTTTAGACTAACACATTCTGTTACAGGTTAAAATGTAGGATCATAACATTCTCTTTTGTTATTAAAACTTCTGCGGCCTAAAGGCTATATCTCCGGGCCGGCATAAGCCCCAATGCTAAACAACGATTGGTCTCCATCTTAGGCTTCGTTTATTTGCCACAAGTTTGAAAATGCTCCATAAACAATTCGAACTTCGCTCGCTTGAATGAGAAAAAAGAATGAGTGGTATCCGGAACACGGCATAAGAATATAATATTAGAACGCGTTCCCAAACGGATTCCAAAAGCACACACAAGTTATAGATTGGATACACTTTGACTCTTTATGAGATCGCACAGGATAGCAATGCAAATCGATGAAAAAATAAAAAATCTTTTTTTTTTCAAGTTTTTAAACAAATACAAAGTCAATTCAATCGATTCAATTCATCCTGGTGCTTTACAAATTAGAAATGTGAATATTTTTGATATAAAAAAAAAGACTTAGAAGCATTAGGCATTGATTGATATAGCACACGAATATTGTCATTGGTGTGCTGTACTATACAGCTTTTATTTATCACAGTATACCGGTACTTTGAATGTTCTAATTAATGACAATTTAAATTCAAACTGTCAGACGTCTGCCTTCAATTGATAAGTCATTGTTCTTATTTCGCCAAGTATTCCAACGAACATGGTAATACTTTTAAAAATGAGCAGAGTGAATAGGAATTTTACAATTCGGACTATTTCGTGATTGAATATTAAAGTTCACTACTTTACACGGCTATATTTTTAATCATCATTTATCACTGGACACAGTTAGCAATCAAATTTACCTCAATTCCTAGACAAACTAAAACGTACAGTAGGTTTCAGTAGTTCCCTTAAACATTTTCGAACTTCAAAATATCTGGTATTGATATGATATAACAGCATATGTAAGTGTACAAACTTTGCAAAACGTCATGGTAATGGGATTTGTAAAGAGGCAAAGTGCGTTCCCAGCCTTCCATGTTTAATATTCAGTGATCAAAATTACGTGTGTAATGGGGGCGTCTGAACTTCCACAAAGTATTCAAAATTTAGTGAAATAATCACGTTGTCATCAACAGATCATGAAAAGCATTTTTTCAATTGCAAATACCATGCAAGATTTTTTGTCGTTGCAGTCTCTCTACATGGCCACAAGATATCGCAAGTCATTCATTATAAGACGCAGTCGCAAAATAGGTCGGCTATCTTGAAGGAAATTCTAACATATTCCACTTTTGTAAAGCTGCGTCAAATGGTTATTTATTGCTAATCTCATTGCTCATAGACATTTGTGAAAGCTTAACATATCCGCCATTTTGTTTTATTCAGTCGCGGAAGCCCTGCAGTAGGAGGAATATTTCAATCCCTTCAGTGGGTTCGTATGCGCCATGTTTCAATTTATTACCGCGAGAAGTAAGGCAGCAAGACCGCCAAATCACAAGCCAACAACGGCCTCCAACGGTCGTAATATTGAATACTACTTGTTGTTATGTCTCCTTCTGACCTCGTTTACACCCTTAATTAGCAAGCAATATAATTATTTTCAAGATATATCGCAAGTCTGGCTGTAAACTATAATAGTTTAAACTGCTGAAATGGAATTGCCCGATCGCATTAGTACTACAGATAAAGATGAACAAATATTTTTGTTCACATCAACAATATCCGAAAATAAATTATATTTAAAAAATAATTTTATGGATACATATACACGTGCATTCTTGATGTAAAAATTTGGAAAATTTCAATATTATTTGACTCGAAAAAATTTGACAAAACAAAATTACCCAGTAGAGGAAACTTACCCTAAATAAACTGCTTGAAAATGCGCAGCCTCTATGTGCTATGCTAGTCCATAGCTGATCCGTTGTAAATCGTCGGATTCTTGCCTCTTAATATTATTCATCTTTCAATATTAACCTGGAAATTCTGTAGATACTGATAATTCGGTATTCTACATTTTAAAATAAACATTTGTAAATATACCACGGCGGAATACCGAAACTCACATTTTCGTAAGCACAAATTGACAGGTTGAGCACAAAATTAATATATCTCTCAATCTGAGCAAATGAAAATTTGTGAGGTCGTACCAACCGATTAGGTTAGTGCTGTCATCAAAAGCTTTTAAAACCTGCCATAGGTCGGTTGTTTAGTTATATAATACCTATTTGTTGTTGTTTTCTCAGACTTTAAATTTTTCACTTGCTTTCTTGCTAACTGCGTTGAATTTGAATAACGAAAGCGACTAGAATGGCAAGAAAATATCCGTCAGGTAAGGTGTAAACTAAATATAAATGTAATTCAGTGCTTCTTCATCAATTCCAGTTTTAAGGGATATTATTGCTTCAAGTTTCCATCTATTAGCGGATAGATTTCGATCATTTTATGCCTATTCCGCTCTGAATTACATGTTGTGAAAAGAGTATTAAAAGTTTTCCTGCAAATAAAATTCAAATATCGATTGAAACCATAGAATCCAAATGTATAGGCAATTGGAAAAATTATAAATACACAAATCTTTATATTCAGAACGCCTGGAGGACGTATTCCAGGAAGAGATCGTCCAAGCTTTTCCTAAAATCGTCAACTTCAACAGATTCGCTCGTTCCAGCGCTGGGCTGTGTTTGGATAAACACGAATTTGATCACATTGTCGAAGACCATGGAAAATCTGTTGAAGAGCAAAAAATGCAAATGCTGATGAAATGGAAGAAAAATGCAGGTGAACTTTATTTCTGAATTTTGTTTATGTAGATTTACGGGTACAAAGTAATATTAACAAGATATCGCAAGGATAGAAGATTTAGGGGCTACTGGTTTAAATTGGATATTTTATAAATAAAACAAAAAATAAGATTGAAGTGCATATGTCTAGATCTCAAGATATTTCCATCTTTAAAATAATGTAAACAATTCATATATAACTCTCGCACAACTCTAACGGTTTTATTTAACATTCAGGTTCTGCGGCAACTGTTTCAAAGATTCGAGCTCTTCTTCGTGGATACCAAGCCGGCGATTCTAATGAAGGTATAGTAATTTTGTCCGAGTTAATATACCTGAGTATGGGCATTATTAATACGTCACTGATATACAATGGTAGTAGATAGGTGCGTAAACAATAGAGCAGGGGTCGGGAACCCATGGCTCGCGAGCCATATATGGCTCTTTTGGTGACGGCATATGGCTCTCAGAAAAATCTAATATCCCAAGACTAAGCTTACTATTGTTACGAGATTTCAAACTCTTTTATAGCCAAATTTGGCAGGAAATGCAATTGAAAATATGTATATTTTATGGCTCTCTTGGCCAAAAAGGTTCCCGACCCCTGCAATATAGAGTATTTAGAGGAACATAAACACCTTATAAGTACAAGTATAAAACTGACGCACCGTGCTCGGCAACGAGCGTCACCCTAAACAGCACAAAAAACGTAGCAGGCAGCATCGGTCAAAGGTTATGAAAGTTGGTAATTCGAGGCGCAAAACCATCGATACGCAAGCAAAAACCAATACAAGGTAAGTAATAATCTCCAATATTCGCAATTCCATAAGTAATTAATTCCGTTTTCTGTAAATGTGGATTTTTTAGCATTTCTATATTTCCTCCACTAATATATATTTTAATTTACTGTAACGCGCATAATTCTGTACTGATTTTCAATCAAAAATTAGGGGTGCGTTTTACACAAACAAAAGGAAAGTAAAATAAAAAAAAATTATCCCATTTTTCAATCCAAAAGTACTACAAAAATACTCAAATTATATTGATTGCATGTTTATTGTTTTATAGTTGTATTTGAAATATTCGAAAATAGAAATATTTGTTTACAAATGTATCATAATCTATATAACAATGGAGCGAAATGATCCGTCAAAACTTCATTTGGGCCCTGTCAATTTAACACTATGAACTATCGTTAATTAGGCAACGTTGAGATTTAATTATATGTTAATTTTTTGGCAAAGTAGTTCAGTTAGACAACTAATCAATTAAAATATTTGTCCATTATAGAAGCAACAAATTATTATGAAAATTTACATAATCATTTCTCTAATACAGAAGCGACAAAAGTCTTCAACGCAAACGATGACAATGTAATTATCTTGTCTTTCTTCGATGAATTCCGCTTCTACAAACCAGCAACAAAGGAATGGCGTGAATGGAAGGTAAGATATAGAAAGAAGACTATGCTACTGATTGTATCGCAAATTAGTCTCAAACTATTTTTCTCTCTAGAACATATCCTGGCTCTCCGATGTCTGGTATTCTATTATTGCAATGGATGGTTATCTCTATGTACTCGTGGGAAATTGTGAGGTTCGTCGTACGAAATACGCTGATCCTAAACCAAAATGGGAAAGACTGTCGGATATGAAATGCAATCACGGACTTTGGCCACCCACAGTTGCAATAAATGGTAAATATTGTACACATCGCTTATTTTATTACAAAACTTAACAGAGAATCAACAAGACGTTCCTACAAAAATGCTAAAAATCCGTCATTGTTGATAAAAATCGTTATTTATGAAAGGGAGTACACAACTATATGAATTTCATGCAGAACACTCACAAAAAAACCTGGTAATAGATACAAAACAATTATTGCATTATTTCTCTTGCACGGTTTCGAAGTTGTAAATTTGCCAAATTGGGGCATATGGTTGGATACGTTTCATAACTAATCAATTTAAGAATGTGAGGAACTCAAATGGTTCCATTACATTTGAACCCACGTACATTTGAACCCATGACAATTGCACCTGTATGCTATTGCACCTATGGATTTTTTTTTGTTTCACGGATAGTTAAACCCATACTAACCCTAACCCATGGGTTTTAGCACCCGCATATAGATTGAACCCGTGGATATACGCATGGGTTCAAAGAACTTCAAATGTACATGGGTTCAAATGTACGGTCACCAACTCAAATATATATTCAAACAAATCGTCTTACACTCTAATAAACATGCGGTTTTTATTACCTAATTGCCCAAAGCAAAGTGTGATGCTTAGATGAAATACCTTTTAAGATGTAAACACTTGTCACTTTTTATGCCACAACGGTGGAGTTAATAGCTGACCTTCGAACCCAATGTGCAGAATGGAATGACCCTGCCATATATTGATGTGGTTAGCCATCGACAGACAAGGTTTTGCAATGTGCAACATAAATGCCCGGCTCATATTCACATCTAATCTCAACCAATATTATTTAAAATATTTGATATTATTTTCTCGCTTTATTGCGAACTAGCGGCTCGAAAGGATAACAGATCTTGCAGCAAAGTAAATTCGCATAACATGGCACTTTGAAAATACATAAAAAGAGTTAAAATACAGAAAAAAAATTATACACGTACCCCATTACCTGTTAATTTACATTATAGTTAACAGAACAACCATTCGATAAATTAAATAAATGCCCTGTCCAAATTGTCATTCTTTAGCTGTTGGAATAAGACATCGAAACTCAACCAGGGCTTCGGATAAATAAGAGAATTGTGAAACTTAGTCGTCAAATGTTGCATTAATTGTAAAATAATGTATATATATTAGCCGTTTGGTAAAGTTCGGATTGTGGTAAAATATTTATTTGGGGAGTTATGCATTCGAAATAGAAATGGAAAAACTTTTTTGATAATGTTGTGACTCTCATATTTTTGGGAAATCCATTTTAGGATGTTAGTTGATAATATTGTGATTCTCAAATTTATGGAATACTTCATTTTAGGGTGCATCTACGTGTGTGGTGGTCGGGGATCGAACAGTCGTTCAGTCGAAAGATACAATCCAACGAATAACGAATGGCAACAGTTGGAAAGCATGAAAATAGAAATAGGTGGACCCACAGTTGTGGCTGCTACAGGTAAATTTACATTTAATCATCACATTCTTTCATTTGACTCTCTCTATTAGGATAATATATATTATAACATATATAATAGTAACAAATTAAACTCAAAGGTAGCAATGTGACCTGGGAGCGGATTTTTAACTTTTGATAAGTATCATTTTGTATCTAGAAAAGCTTTTTGTCTCCCCAACTTTTTTTTTATAATTGAACACACCTGTCGACTGTGTCAAGAAATAAATTTATCCGCTCGCTCATACTGTTATATGAGAATGGAATAAAATAATTACTATCAAGCACTAGATTTCCATATTACGAACATGTGTAAGAAATAACACCTCAACTAGCTTCCAGTTTACTTCAATTCAAATCTTGTAACGATCAATTTTTCCCGCATATGTTCGCATACTTTCCATTCACGACCTGATCGAAATATTTTTTTATATCCAAACATTACCACATCCCTTGCACGCAGTGAGCTCATATATAACACGTTCAGAGTATTTGATGGACTGTATTAATATTTGTTCATCCTTTCTTATTATATTAAATGTAGCTAATATATGAATCAAAGCAATGGGAATTTTCTTTGTATTTTAGGACGTTTGTATTGTTTCGCTAGATTTAATGAAACCCATCAAAAGTCCGAAAGTGGCGAAGTGTTCGATCCTGAAAGTTCAAAATGGGAGTTCACTGCACCAATGCCTATAGGGATTGGCTATGCAAATGCCGCACAGTCAAACGATTTCATATACATCGTAGGTAGGATGCCGGAGCACGATTTTTTTTCGTACAAGTGGTTTTGGATTACAGCCCGTGTACGATATTTAAACAAATATAACTGACGCTGAAATTGAAATCGATATAAATTGTTTGGTATTTAGTGAACACTTAGAATTGATCCCGGGGCGGAGCAAGGCCGATGAGACGGCTTAATTGTATGGCGAACCACGGCCTCTCGTCCTGTTACCGGTGAATGGCATGTTTGGGATCATTTGTTTCCACTTATTTGTTTCAGATGCATGGACTTGATGAAAGAGTAAGTCGTAACCAACCAGCGGCGAGGGATCCAACAATCCCGTCTCAATAATTATCCCCCTAGCAGGGTAATCAGAGGTGCGGTGGCGAGTGTATTCATACCCATAAGCACGATGCATGAGGTTTTAATGTGTCTGTATAATCATATACATACTATTTAAGCCATATGCGTCAATAATCATCAATGCGATGGCTTGACGATTGAGGCGTTGAACTTAACTGTGCTGACATCGCAGATTACACATCTCGGGTTCAAATTCCATGTCCTATCCAACCTAGGGTGTAATAAATTGGTAAAACAACGCCGGACAGAAAACAATCCGATTCTTCCAAATAAAAGTAACTATTTACATATCGTGATATATCAGTGTCTAGTTCGGAACGAAAGGCGTGAATAAACGTCGTATAAATAATGTATATACATATATGTAACAGTAAAGTGCAGTAGGCGAGCTATCGTACTTGTACAATATTATAGCATGGTCAATGATTTGTTGGTAGTTAGTAATAGGATTAGGATTTATTATCTACATACCAGTAAATATCACTCCACCTATCTAACTATCTTTTGAGCCAGTGTCCTATTATTAGGGTAAATGACTGGTTCATTGCACCACTGCTGAACTGACGCGTGGGATGTTTAAATTAAAGTTAAATAACTTGTCTGTGCACAGATTCACAAAATGTTTATACTTTGCAGGTGACCGAATACTTCTTTGCTATGATATAAACAACAATTCGTGGGAGAAAATATCTTTGCAAAATCAGTTACCGGATTTTGATTGGACCTTCAGGCGTATTGTTGCTCTCAACAACGAAATATATTTTGTTATATATGCGAAAAGGTAAGTATGCATTGCAGATATGTTTGGGGTATTTAATGATGGGGCCGATGAATTTTTTTTAGTCATTGTTTGAATAAGGCCTAGAGAATTACTTCATTCCGGACAGAAGTTGCAGTAGTACAATATCCGGTGAATCCCCCCAGGGAGGCGGAGTGCGACAATTTTAAAAAATATATCATGAGTGACCTGAAAGTATTGATTTTACCGAAGATTAGATCAGATCATGCCCACTGCCAAGAGATAGAAGTGCCGGGGAGGGTCAAGAATTCAACGCACTACTTTATACAAAACACATTCTCAACTTATTTTGTTAAATTGCCCCCTCTGCCTATTTTGGAAGTCTTCATTCCTCCCTCCCTATGCACTTATTTAATCTATTTTTAATAGATCCTTTGCTCATTTTAAGCGCAAGTCGTACTGCAGTTTTTGTACAGTTCAAATACTGGTAGTTTATTGTGTGTCTGTAAACGAGTATTATAGTACTAATAAAAAACTAAAAAATATTAGTAATACTGCAGCGAAAAAAAGCAAAATTTCTTAACCAAAACGACAATTTCCTCTACAGTTGGTAAATGTTGCATTAGGAGAATTGTTGCTCTCACTAATGAAATATATCTTGTTTCATATGCGTAAGGGTTAGTATGCGTTCAAATTATGTCCGTTCATGATATCCTTGGTGAGTTTTTGAAAAACTGTTTGAACAATTTTTTGTCGCTTATTGATTCACCATCACCGATTCAATATAAAAATATTAATTTGATTCTATGGAAGAGTCTTTTTTACATATTGAGTCGAAGTAAAGTGTACAAAATGTTTCCCTTCAAAGCTTGTGTAGATTTAATTTTGTCTAAAGACTTGTTTCAAATTAAGCAAATGTTTAATAAACGTTACCCATATTTTTTCAGTACATATTCCTTGTACAAATTTGATCCAAAGACAAATCAGACCGAACACGTTGAAACAGATAGAAGATTCTTGTGCGCATCAATCACCGTCGGACATGTGTGACATCACGTCAGTGAAGATCCAGAGTTTTCTTACCGAAAACAATGTGTGTTGTTGAAGTTATATAATTAATGTATATAATGTTTGATGAATATAAGTCAGGGCACATATGCTGCCGTAGTATAGTTTGAAAATCACACGACTCAAATTTATTCAATTGAATATGTTTTGAGGAAATTCCGAAATGCGGACAGCAAACCATTCAAACAATGTCCATTAGTTTGTTTCCAAAAGTATTATAACATACATTCCAGGTGAACCTGTCATTAAGCATAAAACATAAGTAATATTCTTAATATAGGTGATACGTCATTGCCAGTTTTATTTTGCTATTTCATATACTGGCCAGTGACAATAAATGTTTGTTCGCCAATTTAATATTAACAATTGAAAAATAAATAGGAGTTTTGCCAAATTTGCTAATGGATAAAACTTTTTTCAAAACGTCCCCGTATTGTGATTGAAATTTTTACATAAATATAATATACCATAGGCTGTTATACATTATATAACTTAATTATTGAAATTATCAACATGTTTTATCTTTTGCCTACATAGAATAACTGGCATTAGAAACGGTAAATCGAAATTTTCGGTACATTACCTAGATGACGCGATTATTTACTTTTGATTACGTTTTTGGTGAAAAAAAAACATAGTATTGCTTATATAGAATCTTAGCGTCGATTTCTCGTTTATTTGCAATGATATTTTGACTATTGTTTCTGATTTTGAATAAAATAGCTTTAATTGATAACCGTGTGGCCTTATTTAACTCTAGTTTAACCAGCTAATGAAGAATTATTTATCAAACTAAGCAGTTTAAAGCAGTGAACGGAGTGTGAAAAACAGTTAAAAAATTTCACTCACCAAGCAAAAGAACATCGAACATGTTTGTTTCTGATATTAATTACATCATTACATTACACATGTTCAGGCATAGTTTGCAGTGACTGCCGTATAGGGAAGCGTTTAATCCGAATCAAAAAAAAACTATCCCACCTTTTTTTTTCAATATCAAATTCTGACCTTAGATATATAAAAATGTTAAATGTTTGTAAAATTGAAGTTGGACTATTTCCGGAACCATCAATTATACATAGTCGAAATGATAAAACTTTACCTATGAGACGGCATGCTATGCAATCGGCATTAGAAAACTTTTGCGAGTTTTTAGCGTTAAATGATTAGGTGTATCAACTAACCAACAGACTCTCTTCATTATTGAATACTAATTTTACTCATTCTAACCTAGCGCAGATACTCTCGCAAATCGCGATATATGGTTATATTAGCAAGTACAAATTTCACTCAACCCAGTCAAGTACAAATTTTAATCAAAATTCACTCACAGTACATTATCAAATACAACCCATATACGGATTTCGCTCATCCTAATCTAATCTCTTTTTTTACATGTCTAGATAATTATTAAATACTAATTATAATCATACTAACTCTTACCACACACCTTAGTACATCATGGACGAATGTTGTCCTTCTGAATACAGCCAAAGCACAAATTTGACGCATCCTACCCACCCCAAAATCCCGCTCTAAGTGTTATTAAGTACAACCAAGATACAAGTTTCATCCGAACCAAACCCCTAAGCCAGGGGTCGGCAACCTTTTGTCGCTGGCGGGCCAAAATTAAGGTTGCAAGTCATTGGCGGGCCGCACATATTTTTAGAAAGTTAAAAACCGAACGGATGATACTTTTTATATAATAAAGATCAAGCTGTGATACATCTCTCTAATAAAATATAAATTTATTTCCTCATTGCATTGCATCCCGAAAAATTCCATTTGAATATTTTCGGCGTCATTGAACTCTTTGCATGCACGTAGCATCAACTTTTCTGCGTTTTGTTGCCATTTGTCTAATTATAATTAAACTATAGCAGGGTGGTCCAAGATTGTTGACCTCGCGGGCCACACTATTATTTTTGTCTTGTTCGCGGGCCACAATAGTGCCAAGAATATGTGAACATTGCAATACAAATAAAAACACTTTCATTGTCAAATACATTGATCATTATTTGACTTTTTTTAAAGCTAAAGCATGCAAAAACCACAAAAAAAATTTCACTAAAACGTGCAAAAATCTTAATATATCTACATTTAGTGTAAGATTTTAAACTTTTCATAACGAAGAAAGTATCAAAAAGAGAAACTGGCGTATTAAATTGTCACCGACACAACTTGCGGACATATCAAGCAAGCATTGTGGTATTTTCCCTCCCACACACAGTCAAAAATATGTTTGAATTGGTCAGCTTTATTTTTAAACTCATTTTAAAAAAATAAACTTGCCTTAACAAAATAACTTACACCTAACTGCAGATTGATTGATTACCGAATTTTACCAAATTTGAGATACAGAAGGGTAATTACTCAATTTTCTGACATATAGGCAGCATTTTATGTAATAATGTTTAGGCTGGTTACAAAAAACCACCCGGTGGGAATTGTATTGTTCGGCCATAACATTATTATTTAGTTATCAGGCATAGCCAACCTAGATTAATAGATTCCTCATTCGATTTTTACTTTTCTATGAAGCCTATTTTGTTAGCATATATTCCCGACCAAAAAGATGAAGAGCCAGATAAATATTTAGACTGCCTGCACGTCATTGAATTTTGCTAGTTGCCTCAACTAGACAAAACACTAGTCAATTCAGTGGAATTAGTGATGTAACAATATGTCAAAAGATTTTTCTGGTTTCTTTTATCACGAAACAACTCCAAATGCGACTTTTTGTTTACCCTCGCGCAAATGCGACACGGGCCACAGATAATGAAGCGGCGGGCCACATATGGCCCGCGGGCCTGGGTTTGGACCAACCTGAACTATAGGTTCATTAAACGAGTACTTGTGAATTATATACGTGTAAGGTTATAGTATAATTTAGTCTACATGTGTCTCACAATAAATTCTGTTACGTAAAGAATTTAAGTGTCAAACTGCTGGTCTGTTTCTATAATTCAGTGAAGCGTCGCGGGCCGGATTATATTACTCCGCGGGCCGTAGGTTGCCGACACCTACTCTAAGCAAACCCTTTGAAATAAGTAATATTTTTCATATGTTCTCACGGCTACCGAAAACACCCGCTTTTCTAATCCTTCATCAGAGCATTTGCTTCTAAATATCATATTTTTAACACCACTCTCCTACATTTACGCGCGCATTTGATAAACACCTACAAATACAACACATGAGTTCCTCCTGCCTCATCTCCGCTCATATGGAAACGTCATAATTCATATCACTCTTTCCCCAGATATCGTAATTGTTACGTTTAACACTCGTGTCTCCCTTGTTTCCTATTTATAATCATCTGGACATCATATTTTTTTTTCTTCAAGTCACGTGTACGACGTGCTGGATAGACACCAATTATCATTTACCGCAACCCATTCCTACATAGTTGCTTCAATGGATTATATTTAATAACTGAAGATTCTGTTTAACTGTGGATTTAATTGGATTAAACTATCATTTCAAACAAAAACATCAGAGCTTAATATTGCTGGTGTGTCTTAGACATCAAGACAGGTTTGGAGGCGCGTATAAAAACATTTGGGTCATAGACATATGCGGGACCATTGAACTAAGTTGGACTTTGGTTACCACAATAGTAACGAATAAAAGGAATCTTTTCAAACACACCTTAATAATATCCCTCCAGAAATACAGCACAGATTTGGCGTATCACCGCCTATAAACAGCCGAGTTTGATGGCAGCGCACCGCGCAAGCAAAAAGAGCATGCAGGAATAAAGGGAATTTGCCACGTATGCGACCTTTTGAACTACGATCCCATTGATAGGCGCACAGATTAATACCCGACTCAGCTGGATCATATTGGACGCGGTAGTGGACATAACAATTGTTTCAATTTTATGTTGTTGTTATTCTTCGTCATCATCATTATAAAATCGCTTTTCTCTTCGAATACTGGACCAATTGCTTTAAACTTTTCAGTGGTTAAAGTTTGATTTTTTTTTCCAGACGGCTATTACTTTTATTTATTCCTAAATTTTATATGAATCCTATGAGATCTGATATTTCATTCAAAATTTCGCTGTCCTATTTACTCATGGGAACACTGTTTTGAAACTTATTTCAAGCGGCTAAGTTACCGTACCACAGTGAAATTAACTTATTCCTTTCGCTAACTTACTATTGCAGTAATGTAGGTTTTCTAGCACATCTAGCCTACCGTATTTGTTAATTTTGATGAGAGCAAATTGAATTGAGTTTTTATATGCCAGAGAAGAACCGTTCCACGATCGAATAGCAGGCCTACATACAGCAACAGGTACCGTATATTATTTAAGAGGAGGAAATGAATTGAGTTCTTACTTATATGACAAGGAAGAACCGTTCCGCGACCGAATATCAGGTACCGGTAAGTTACCGTACCGCATATGGTTATCGGGGAAATGATATTTTATTTTGTCCTGGTACCGTAATGGAGAAGTGACTTGAATCACTTGGTATTTCAATTCACGTTGAAATTGGATGGAGAAGAATAGATCATTACCACAGGACATGGAAGAGCTATGACAGTACCGTTATTTGTACTTCGATTCAGGTGCTGTTAAGTTGAAGCATATGATTTTGGGACGTTTTTATGGGATAATGTTTGACTGCGGTACCTGATCCGGTAATACAGAAGTGACTCAGATCATGTCATTTCAATTGATGTTTGAACACAATTAAGAAGAATGGATCATTGTCACAGAACTTTAAAAGTTATGACAGTCCCTGTACCGTCACGGTACCCCGATACAGGTACTGTTAAGTTACCGCATATATATGAGTTTTGGGGGAATTGGTCTGCGTGTCCATATATTTGAGCATTGTTCTCTTGTTGTTATCGATGGTGGTCGATCATATTGTAAAATTGTGAGAAAAAAAAATTACCCATATATATATAATCGATGCTGAATTGATTGTTTTGACTATATTTTCAGTTTTATCTCTTACTTTCTTGGAGAAAGGCAAGGAAGAGAAATGCGCTCATTATTCAATAGTACGATAACTCGTGTAATGAATTCGGTAGGCGATGATGAACTGGAAAGATCGTTCCTTCTAAATAAAAGTCGCTCTCTACATAGTAGTAGATAGCGTGGAGAGGCATCTTATAAAAACTTAATTTCGATTCCTGGCTCTGGTTTTCATAAAATATAACTATGGACTTTCGAATTGTGTCCTCAACTCTGAGATGATTCTCCAATAACAACAAAAAATTCAGGTTCCATCTCCGCAATAGTGTAACTATCAAATGTGTAGATCAGGGGTCGGCAACCTACGGACCAGATCCGGCCCGCGACGCTTCACTGAATTACAGCGACAAAACTGTGGTTTTTAATATGAATTAATTTTATAATCCACGCTTAAGGAAGGAGTTGATTATATTCTTAACGTAACAGAATTTATTGTGTGACATGTGT